ACATTATCTGAGGTATTTAAACCAGTAGGATATGGGAACATTTGGACGTACTGATGGCAAATTCTCAGTGATCGCCCTCTCCATGGCGATTTCCACCATGTTGTCTGACAGGTCCAGCCCAAGCACCGCTACTCCAAACGTCTGAAAAGTAATATAATCGTTGCCACCACTGTAGTCCCTTTAAATCATTATAAAACCCCCCCTATCATCACAAGTGTCACCCTAACTATGCCAGATGCCGTGGCTCTCACCTTTGCCATGTAGAAATCTCCTCCACCGATGCCACAGCCAACATCTAGAACCTTCTGTCCGGGCTTCAGGTTCAGCCGGTCCACAAACTCCTGTCAGCACAAAAACAAGGGTTCATTTTTTAGTTCATCCAAAGTCCCAGGAGATAAAGCCACATACTTGTCTTGTGTGTTCAGTGTCAAATATAGATGACTAGGGCGATGATAGCGAGCGAAGGTTTTACATTACATTTTCAATATTTCTATTATTTCATACACGAGTCATGACACACATGAGTCATATCTCACCAACATGTTAGTGCTGTTGAATGATGCATAAATGCCGATAATAAGCGGCTATAATGTCATAATGGTATGCTATAACGTGTTCACCATTTTAGTTTAGCATGTTAGCATGCAAACATTTGAATTAAATAAAAAATGAAAGCACTAGACACAAAGTACAGCTGAGGCTGATGGCCGTGTCATTAGTTTAGCTGGTAATTGGTCATAAACCGAAGTATTGGACAAATTGGCCGCAAGAAGAAAGGTTGGCGGTTATTAAAATTCAGCAAAAATTATCAACAATCCAAAAGCAGCTATTGATTCCTTCCAGCCAAAGTCTTTGGTGTTTTCCAGACTTTATTCCTACCTTGGTGGTGCTGGGCCCGCCTGTGCTGACGTAACCAGCCCCGAACATCTTCTCGTAGCGCAGGATGCCGCGGCTAGTGTACTGCTGGTTGTCCAGGAACTGCTGGAAGGTGCTGAATCCGTTCTGGGTGCTCGAGGAGCGGGGAACCTTCTCCAGAAGCCAACAGATCTGATTCGGATTGTTTTTCATCTGGAAAAGGAGAAGGACGAGGACAGAAAGGACGGACGGGGAGGGAGAGGGTTAACTACACATCCTCACACCTACAGCACATGCAGCTTTGTCCTTCTATTTCATATTCAGTTTCACAAGAAGACTGAAATGCCTACCTCAACATAGGCCTGAACTTTCTTTTTCAACACAATGTCGAAACCAAACATTTGGCCCCCCTCTGGCTCCTCCACTTGTAGCGATGAGACAATGTGGCTGTATTGTGCCTCGGTGCGGTAGCAGGTGGGGTTGAAGTCCCTCTTGTAATCACCTTGGTTCAAATATACAAGTTAAAACAAATCCTTCTTATGTTGCTGCACATTCATAGTCAACTGAGAACATCTTAAGTCAGTTTGAGTTAGTTTGCATCAATGTTTAAATCATTATTATAGATGAAAGAAAGATGTGGATGTTTTATTGTCAGCTCAGTACCTGACCGGTGGTTGCAGGACTCTCTGAAGAAAAGAAAGCCACCGGGACGCAGCCAGCCCATCATCTTCTCTATGAAGGACTTTAGCTCCTTGTCGCTCAGGTACATCAGCAGCCAGTTGGAGAAGATGACGTCAATGCTGAGGGGAGCAATGAATGGATGCATTCAAATAAAACAAGAGAGCTAAAATTGCTTTCTTTTGTCTAAACAAAGCCAGTATTCTGGTTTCAGTCGAAAGCTTGGGATTGTCCAATGTATGATCTAATGGCCAGTGGATTTAATGGCTGCCAGCGAGCACTAGTTCATTACTGTCCGTCACTAATCATCCTGCAGAATGCATGACTTGCAACCTGCTTACAGTCTACGACCATACAGATAGCACTGTGAGGCTGTACTTTGCTAAATGCTAACATCAGCAGACAAAATGAAGGTTTTGAACCGGATGATGGTGCTAAATGAAAACTTAAGGGATCACCATAATGATTACAATTCCTCCTGACGGTGGGGGCATGAATGTCTCATTGATCCAACATATGTTGAGGCACTTCAATAAAAAAAAAATCACAAATGTCAACCTCATGATAGCGCTACAGGAAAAGCCAGGGGACCATCAAAGTGAGTAGGCTTCATTATCTGCCGACTATGAATGTCTGAACCACTTTGCGATCCATCGAACAGTTGTTGAAGTTGTCAGTCTGGACCAATGTGACGGACTGACCGTCATACCTGTACTGCCATCCCTAGAGCGCTGCACGGCTAAAAATTGAAGGTATAAAATGTTTCTAAACAACAGATTTCTTAACACACACCTGTTTTGGGGAATATCCAGCTTTGTGACGTCAGCTTGGATGAAGGTAGCGTTGCTGTGGTGACCATTGTCCTGCCTGTTCCTCTCCACAAAGCTCTCCATGAAGTCCACAGCCGTCACATGTGAGGCCTTGGTCAGCAGGTGGCTGGTGTAACGGCTGTAGAGACACGCCAGTATAAATCTATCTCACGATCTCCATTAAGTGCAGAACCAAAATTTAAAGTATTTTTTTTAACATCACAATATTAAAAAGACATAATCGGATTACCTAAACTTGAAAATGGCCTTCTGCTACATGCACTTAAATTAAAAAGAGACCCTGAAAACCCTGCTCACAGGCATCCACTACTACAGACTAGCCCGATGCAGCGGGGCGCTCACCCGATGCCAGCTCCCAGCTCCAGCACTCTGAATCCAGCCAGGCAGGGCAGCATGGACAGGATCTCGGGCAGCTCCTGCTGGGTGAGCTCCTTGGCACGAGTGTCCAGCATCATCTCCTCCACTGTGGCAGCCTGGGAGTGCTCCTTCCAAAACTTGGTCATGTTGTTTCGAGCTGTGAAGCAAAAAAAGTGTCCAGATTAGATAAACAAAAGTGAGATTTGAAAACAAGTAAAACAATATTTATTTTTTAAGAGGATGGCGATGATCTAAAAGAGGAATTGTATATAACTTTGTTACTGCTTGGTCAAACAAAAACGTAACAAGACATGTACTACTACCTCTGGAATATGTGGCAAAGTTCAAGTACTCCTGCCTGTGAATCATCTATCAGGTAGTTCAGTAAACAAAGTATTCAATATTTCTATTTTACCGATTATATCCCGACATAAAATGTGCAACCAAACAAGTTAAGAAGAAACTACTATGCCATTCATTCGATTTAAAAGTGACATTTTACAGAGATGCGTTTTAATACACAGATTCACGCTTCAAAACACAGATTAACCATTAGTCTGGTAACAGCAAGCGATCTTAAAACAATACATTGGTGTGGCACACACACACACACACACACACACAGCTACTGTGTTGGGTAGACCGTAAATGTAGCAAATAAAAGAAGAAATGCCAAAAAAAGGCTACAAATATTTGAATACAAGTAATTTATCAAAAGCAGAGAAAGCCACAGTAGATAATGCAATGCTTCAGGACATGTTGCAATAATGTAGATAATAAAAAAAGTATTGTTTACTATGGCCTTCATGTTTAAAAAGCATCCACAACAAATAATACATTAACATTTAAAAAAGGACAAACTTAAAAACAAAATTTTTCTACTCTTCTGTTGCTTTTCATCCACTGACACCCCATGCTATCCTGCTTTGCTATGCTGCCAGCAGCACAGCGTTGTGGACACTAACCTCCCATCTTCCAGTGCAAAGATGACAACGAAGTTAAGTTAAATGTCTTCACAGTCCGCTACCTGGTTACACACCAAGCACTAGGATCACCGCAGGGTAACGTTCAAGCAGACAAACTCTACATGGAGGGATCATTTGACACTAAAAATCAGTCAAACCACCGACACATTCCAGCAGGATTACTTCCACCAGCTGAGTGAACACATTAGCACAGAACAACGTGTGGCAGCTCCAACACAGTCAGGTTGCATCACATTTAAAGACACGTTTCAATCAGGCCGTCACATCACCAAAATAATCCACATTTACTCTGCTCATACTGTACCTTTTTCCATGGTGGTCTTAAATGTATTTGAACTTATTGTAAATGTATTCTACACTTCCAATGTACTCTGGCAATTAACTGTTATTTATACGATGGTTACTGTTAGTAACCCCTCTGTGACAGAGTGCAGGTTTCAGAGAGTGTGGTGCTCTTTAAATAACACGACGCGTGGAGGAGATGGTCGCCAGGTGGCAAACTGGCCATTAGGATGCGCCCAACATGAGGACAGGGAGGGGGTGAAGATGAATAATCATATGGGGGACAAGGGTCCACGCACCATCACAGGCATGTTCATGGACGTGCACACATCTGTTTACAATCCCCATAAAAAGACCCGCGTGTTGTCCTGCCCCGGATACATTTGTGTCAGTGATGCAAACTCACGATGGTTGGTTAATGGAGTGCTGTGTGTGTGTGCGAGAGTCCCAGTGGAAGTCTCCCCTCACCGGCTCCCGGATCACCGCGCCTCAGTCGTGCTGACACAAGCAACAAATGTCCGTGGCATTCGGAGCCGATTGCGCAACATTGCGTCATAGTGCCGCTGAAAACAGGGTGGAAAGCGATGCGTGCGGAGCCGCCGCCCCCCTGGACCTAACAATGCATGTTAAATGATGTCTTTTTCACATTTTATTTTAAAATATTGTAACGTAGTGCCATGTTATGTTGTGAGTGTTATTGTGTTTACAGGAAGAAGGCGATCAAGATAAGCGTAATTACTGCATTTCCTGAGTTCAGGAGGTCAGTGAAGGTGTCATGACCTGTGAAGCAGTTAGCGGCTGGGATTGGCACAGACAGACAGACGTTTCTGTCGCATACTAGACTGTTGGGAGTCAGTCAGTGACCAACCGACTGCGGTCAAGCGAGTCATCTGCGAAACTTCGGCCGTCGCTTGAAAAGTAATGCTCGTCTATTCGTGGTGTTACGGTATGGGTGCTTGGAAAGCTCAAAAAGCACGAAGATTGACAACAGACTCCCTAAACTCCCTGGATAAAGATATTGTAATCCGTTGGTTGATGGATTATAAAAAGTGTTGCACTCTACCATCAATGTAATTTAGTCCAAATAGGAAACAACACGTTGGTCAAACTTTACAAACAAATACGACTACAAAGAGAGAACCAACTGTTGTATTTACAAAATGAATGAAAAACAGAAATTTTCTTTTTTCAAAATAAAAAATTGACATCTGGTACTAACGCAGTACAAAACCTGGGTGTCATTTTCTGCTTAAGTGCAAATGTGTGATTTATTATTGTGTTTGACTATGCACAGTTCCAACGTAACCATCCAAAGTTCACAATAACCAGACCGCACTGGATGAGGTCAGCAGGTGGAAGAGGGTTAGAAAAAGAGGCTTTTAGGTGCAGATAGTGGCTCGGAAAGTCCCTCTACACTCTGATAATGACATTATAACATCAATCAATAGTATGTGTTCAATGTGAACACAGATACACATACAGTCAAGGCCATAAGTATTTGGACTGTGACAGAATTTTTCTAATTTTGCCTCTTTATACGATTCCAATGAATTTAAAATAAAGCAGTCAGTATGTCGTTGAAGTGTAGACTTTCAGCATTAATTCCATATATAAAACAAAACTATCACATTAACTGTTTAGGAATTACGTTTTTGCATAGTCCCACACATTTTCAGAATCTAAAAAGAAATATATACTGTATATCATAATATAATATATATTACTCAAATAAGAAGACAACATGAAATGGAACTTGACATTTCAGCAGATGGTGCTGTTATACCACAATTGCTTTACATTAGAAACTAAGGTAGCATAAAGATTAAACATTGTCATTTCTACAGTACTCCAACCATGCATTTTGTATGTACATATAGCAATAAAACTAAACCCTTCTGAAAAACTGAAACAAAACTAAAACTAGCAAACACTCTATAAACTAACTTAAAAGTAAAATGAATTTGAAAAGTAAAAACTTTAATAAGCTTGACCTGAGGGCCATTTGAGAAGGATGATGCAACTTCAGATGCTATCAAAGATGTTTTGTTGGCGGAGGAAACACTTTGGAAGTGTATTTTCAAGAGTCAGAATCTCCCACCGCAGTAAAGAGCCTGTAAATGATTATTCACAGTGATAATATTGACACGGTTGTTGTGAAAGGCTTTCTAAAAACGGTGTCTAAATCACATCCGTTACATTCAGAGCATTTGTTTGTCGTCTGCTTTTCACTGCTGGTTTTATAACCTTGGCCCGTGCCGGTAGTTACACTTCCAGTAAAACCAGATCTCAAACTATTGGTTCGAGTGTGCAGGAAAAGTGCAAATCTCACTGGTGTATGATAAACCCCTATTCCACAACATGGGAACGAGGGCTTTGCTCAAGGCAACCTTAGCCCTAAATCCTGCTCAGTGCATAACAGCAATGACTGAAAGATGGACAGACAACGGTACAAATCACAATATGGAGTTTAAACCATGAAACTAACAGGAAGAAACTGTCCTATAACGTTTTGCAGAGTTTCGAAGATAAATGTGTTGTGTGTGGACTTCTTAACGCGTTTGTTATTCATTGACAATTTAGTAAGAAAAGAAGAAAACTCTCCACTAAAGAATGTCAAAGTAAAGAACATGTTCCCTTTTGTCCACTAGATGTCAGGACAGGCACACACAAAAAAAAAAAACACACGCACACACACACACACACACACACACACACACACTACAACCAGACAGTGGCTGTGGGGGTATGAGAAGTTCATGTGCTGTAGAGCTTTAGCAGCAAAGTGAATGAGTGAATGAAGGCTCATGTTCAGACACAGCTGTTATCTTTGTCCGCTTCCTTTTAGAGAGACAAACAAAAAGAGAAAAACAGACGACAGCTAAGACGGATTTTAAACAACTAGTTTGGCAAGCAGCAAAGCAGGACACCCATTACATCACAACGCTCAAAAGCTTCATCGTATATCTTACATAGCACCCAAAGAACAGTTTCTGTATTCTCAACTTAGTGTTCACTTCAGGTCTGAATGGAGTACAGGGAATCATGGAGAAACACTTAGAATCACTTTTTTCCCCAAATGACTTCTTCTGTTTGAAATGCTTTGTGGCTCACATCACATTCAACTCTCTGCTTTCAGGTCGCATTTACAAAAAAAAAAAAAAAGAAGAAAAAGAAATGATGCATCAAGGATGAGATTTAAGACAACTTTCATTTGGAGCTCTGCATGTGTGCAGGCTTTACATTTGTTGCAATGAAGAGAAGTATGATGATAATAATACCCACTGTGATCATCACGCTTAAATATTCAGGGGGCCTTTCATGTGGGAGACGGTTTGTTTTCCTTGCTATTCTCCAAAAATGATCAACTTCCCCTGAGACAGGTCTTTGTCCATTTTACAAACAGGTTCCCCTAACGGGGAGAATCTGTTGCTGCTGAAGTGCTGTTGCTGTAGGTGGAGAACAAACAGATGTATTATGTGTGTGCTTGGTCCCAGGGAGAAAATAAAGTAATTGCACTTCACTTGAACTTGAGTGCAGATGAGCAGACACTGAAGGAAAAAAGAAAAAAAACAAAAACATCTTGGCTTGGCACATGAAAGATTCATTGGAAATCTCACAATCCCCATCTCAGTTGTTCCAGGGTTTCTTACTCCCATGAGAGCGGGTGAAAGGTGGAACGAAACATCAGCGGTGAGAGCAATCATGATGTATGTAAAATGGATTTATTTATTGATTTCACTACTGGGGGGGGGGGGGGGTGCATTTGTGAATAATAGAATACCGCAACAATGCTCTTAAAAATAACATGTTGTCGTGTTTTTTGTGTGTGTGCTGGTCTGACTTCATCCATCCATCCACACACACACACACACCCCCCCC